GCCGAAGCTCAGACTCTGGCACAGGATCGGGAACGTTGGAAGCACTGTCTGACGCGTCAGCCTCCGCGACTCGAAAGGAGAAGCGGCGATGGAAGATGAAGATGAAGTTTTTTTTATGTCAGGCGACTCTCCGCCAAAAGATTAGCTGCGACACTTCATTTTCTTTAAATTTTTTTTGAAACAGATTTTGATTCTGGGCCAATAATTCATTAACGGATGGCTTTTTGATACATGGTTAAGACAACCTTAATATAGTGCAGTTTCTGTTTCAATTATGCAACGATTCAATTTTCATTTATTCAATGCATGGTTGTTGTATTTGTGAAATTTAATTCACACTTAATTCATACCCACACGAATGTTCTTGCCTGAAAGTGTCGTTTCTTGCTTTCAATGAATTTTACGTAATAATTGTCTTGACGTTGCACGCTGTATATACGTTGAAAGCAAAAATAAATTTCTTTCAATAAATACTTGATAGTGAAATCATTTTTATGATCTAAGTGAAGAAGCAAACTTTCAACATAGTGTATACTGACTACGCCTTCATTCCCAAAAACAACTAAACGACCGCAATATTAATTCATTTACAATTGCCTTTTGAACATCGAAGTAACTGCAAATTATTAAAAATATTTCAGTTAACATGTATTCAACATACAGAGCTCTTACGATATAGTTTCGGCTGACACAACAGTGGAAGCAAATGCAGCACAAATAAAAAAATTATAATAAACCTTCCGCGCAATTTCCACAAGTCGGGGAACAGCTAATGGAACGATTTCATGGAAGGTGTAACTGCAGCTGAAATAATTACCTTCGAGTTTAAGATGAACTGAAGTTTCCACAAATTACCGCGCAGAGCAGCGGCGTCGTGAATTCCGCATTTCGAGCAAAGTCATCGAACTGTCAGTTCAGATGCATCAAGCGCATATGCTAAGTTCCCAAAGTAAACAAACAAATTTTTAAATGGCAGGAAGACATGGACTTTTAAACCAGCAAAAGCTCGTTTAATTTCCTTAAAACTTTGTTACAAACATTTATTACGGAATGCGTGAATATCCCATATAATCAGGGCACTTCCCCGATTGCAAAGCAATATTTTTCACAGGAAGTTAACCACGAAAGCAGCAGATCCAGCATCAACATGCATCAGAGAGTCAACGGTCATTATGATGCAGCAAAACTAGAGCATAAGTGGCTTTAATTTTTTGACAGTAGAACATCAACGTGAGGAATAATCTTCGACAAATAATAAAAATGATGTGACCTTGTCACCAGAACGCCTCGCTCATTAACCGTGGAGCCTTGAGAACCGAATGATATGTCCAGGCCGTCAAGATTCGTCATCCACCCTTTAGCGGCACGAATAATGGCGTTTGGGGCACATAAATCCCACAACTTTATATCAGTCACGTGAATGTACATGTTGGCCGTACCATTTAACACACGAAGCGCTTTGTACCCAGAGCCGCCAGCAGTGACTACCTTCCAACGTTCAAAACTAGAATTGGAAAGAAACGCTGCCACATTTCCGGCATGCGACCGAGAAACAATTGCGATCTTTTCTTCGTCTTTCATCCCTTTGACGTCATCAATCGGGCTACAGTCAGGATAGCATCCATGATCAACCAAGCCCCACACTGAAACAACGTTAAGCAGGAAAAGCAAAACTAAACCATACGGTAAAAGCGGTATTTAAAACAAGAGTACTGTTTCTATGATTAACAAAACACTGCTTTAAAATGAAATTAGGGGAGGATACAAAAGTTACAAAACCAAAAAATATATTAAGGTAACTGGCACTCATCAGAATCTAACAGAAGAGCTGTAGCTTTCGTTCTGGTGGAAGACTGCCATATTTTTGCCCGAAAATAAATTTCTGTAAGAAAGACCTTTCAAGAGAATGGTTAATCGATTTATATTTTTGTGCATCGAGATACGGCGTACTGCTTCGGTTCCTTGCAATAAATCGCGTCGTTACCTTCAAGAAGATGAGATCGATTCAGTTATCCTACATCTACAACAGAAACGGTTTCAGAATCAGCTAAATTACGTCGATATCATTCACTGTGAATAATGCACTCCAAAACACCATAGCTACGACATGTTACAATCATCTTCATCATCTTCATCTTCCATCGCCGCTTCTCCTTCCGGGTCGCGGAGGCAGACGCGTCAGACAG